GATCTCGTGAGATTATAGATGAGATTTCCCAGCAATGCTCTCCTGATGACAAGGCAATCCCAGTGTGCAATGCTTTGGAAGCATTGCACACTGGGCAAAGTCATTTTGCCCTTTCAAAGCAGGAAGTGAATGGTCTGCAAGTGTAAGTATTTCACAATCACAGTATTTTACACCTGACATGTCTATGTTATTATTAATCATCATACATAGAGGGATGCATTGGTAGAATTTGATTTTCGAGTGTAAAGGTCTGCCTTAAGGAAGTCCTATTAATCAGAAAATTAGGACTCTGCTTCAGACTGAGGGATATCATATAAAATAGAGTCATGAATGGTCAGCCATGCAGAACATTGCTCCAAATATTCTTGCTAGCTTTAAAGTAGAACTAAAACTCTGACAAAGAATCTTTCCTTCAGCAGAGAACTGGCAGGAAAAGAGGATTGCTTTTTTGTTTGTTTCCAAAATATTTTTTTTAAATAACTGACAGCTGAACAAATCATCAAATAAATGACCCCCAAATAATGTGTATATCGTAGTTCTGACACAAGACAATGCTGCAAAACAGAATATATAGAAAGGGATTAGCATGTGCGAAGCGTTTCCATTCATCCCAATCACCAGATTACCGTCGTTGCTAAAACAGATATTGTTCTAACAAATTAGTCATTGCAGAAAACGGCCCCACAGTTGCGCATGCGTCGTTCAGTGACCCAGACACGCATGCGCACTCCGCATACCTGTGAAGTCAGGCCGCCGTCTGGTTGCCATGGAGACAGAAGTTCGCGTCCTTCCACACTCCGCTCCCGGGAAATGAGAAGGAATATGCAGCGAGCGGAGGAGTGAGCGGACACCAGACAGGTAGCAGAGCAGCCGGCGGGATTGTATTTTATATATGTCTGTATGTTCACAATGACTGCGAGCTTTCTTCTGCCTTTGTTATGGGTCCTTTTTGTGTTTGGGGTAGAATGGGTTAAATTAACTGTCCTATGACACTTACGATGGGATCTCTAACCTCAACCACTTATTACCTGCAGCGATCTGCTTTTGTTTCTCCTTTGTGTATATTGTGTATTATACATTGTGCTGTATGTAGAATCATGAATAGGTCCAAGTACCACCATCAGGAATAAGGGGGTGATTTGCTGAGCTTGCACCAAGCCCACCTTCATCACTATTCAGTATATGTGGGCACTTCGGTTCGCACCATGCCCAGCCTCATTAGGGATGCCCTGAGCCAGCGCAAAACTGTCAGGGACACAATCCCCTTCTTGCCCAATCAGCTGAGGCCAGGGCATTCCCCACCCTGCAGCTACACATAGTCCTGCCATGGCTAACTGGGCCGGGAGGTGGCCCAGAGTTCCCCTGAGGCATCACAACACTATCATTGACACAATCCCCTCACAGCCCAGTCAGCTGCAGCCAAGGCGTTCCCCACCCTGTAGCTATACATAACAAAGGGGCGAGGAATGCCCCTGCGGTGGCCGGGAGGTGGCACAGAGATCCCCCTGAGCCATCACAAAACTGTCAGTCACACAATCCCCTTCCGGCCCAATCAGCTGCAGCCAAGGCGTTCCCGGCAACTACGCATAGCATAATGCCCCTGCCGTGGCTGATTGGACCCAGAGTGGGATGTGTCACTGTCTGTTTTGTGCCATCTCAGAAGCACTTGGTTCGCCCCTAATCCCCTGCACATCTCTAATTAGGACCAGTGGCGTAGGTTATTTCACATAGGTAGAGTAATTAGTATGTCAGCAGTGCAGTTTAGCTTTACAAGACGTGAATAGGGATGACTCAGTCTGCTGGGGCTCAGTTCCCAAACAGTTTTGTGAATTTAGTTAAAAAGTTCATGAACTTTGCAGAGAGGCCTCTTGAAGTCTGGAGGAGGGGCTCATAATTTTAATGATTTCCATTTGCAGGGTGTCGTGGGAGTGGTTAGCTGGTGACACTTATGCACTTTGTTTTATAGTGCACTTCTCCTTGAAGTGCATGATAGCTAAGGGAAAACCCAGTGAAGTCCTCTTCCCTTGGTGCCGATTTATCTTAAAGCTGAATTCTCTCCTTTCAGTGGGGCTGCCCCTGCACTTCAAGGTTTAAATGCTCATTAGGGCCCATTCACGCCACACCCAGATCATCTCCAGACCAGACCAGACTGTTTCTGGACACAAAATGCATCCCAATGTATCCCTATGCTACTTCTGGCCTCTGTTCCCACCAGCGCAGTCCGTTCCAGACCAGACAAATACAGCTTGTCCTATTTTGTCTGGTCTGGAATGCACTGGAACGCATCAAAACGTATCAAAAACGTCTGGAACACACCTGTAAGACAAATTTAACCTCCCTGGCGGTCTGATTATTTCCTTTTTTGTTCATTTTTTTTTGCGTTATTTTTTAAAATTTACCTCCTTGCGACGCAGACAATCACAAGAGACGGAACCCGGAAGACAGATGCCAGCATCGGCCGGAGGACACAGCGTGGCTGGAGGGGCAATGTAAGTAACGATAAAGCACTATGTTCCAGATCTGGTCCGGAAAATGGTGTGAACCCAGCCTAAGGGTTTCTGTAACAAGGAAGATTTTACTTACCTGATCCCCACTACCACCAGCTCCAAGACCATCACCTGCGGCCTCTTCCCCCTCCACTCTGGTGGTTGGAGACCCACTGACATCATAAGGTATAATGCCTGGCTCATAGCCCTGCATTATACATGAGGACACTGAAGGGCAGTCCACAAGCCAGAGCATAGGGAAGACATGGTGAGCATCAACTGCTGGGTCAGTGGGGATCAAGTAAGTAAAACTGCTCCACCCAAGTACCCTAGACCTGTACAAACAGTTAACTCCTTGCAGTCTCGGGAAAGTCCCACTGCAAGGGAAATTTTTAACCTCAGGAGATAGCCTTTAATGGTTAATCTGGCCCGTTCCTGTGCACTGATGGTCTCAAGCAATGTAACAGCTTTACTAGCTGTCTTCTGTGAACTAAGAGACACCTCCACTCTAAAGGTGGCCATACACTCTACAACCATCGCAAGACTTTAGTCTTGCGATGGTTGTAAAGGGATTAAAAAAACGTACGATCTGCCTATCTTGGACAGGCAGATCGCACTCTCGATCATCGCAAGCCCGCCCCCCTGAGGGGCGGGCTTCCGATGATCGCAATGCTGAACGGGCAGTGTGCACGTGCGCACACCGGCCCGTTCAGCATTTATCTTCCGAGCACCGTTCTAACCAGCCGAGAATCGTACGATTCCCGGCTGGTTTTCGAACATGCTGGTTCGACAGAAGACGTGCGACCGTACAGTAGAAACGGTCGCACGTCTTCGTTCACACTGCTCGATTATCGTACGAAAAACCGATCGCATACGATTATCGTACGATAATCGTGCAGTGTATGGGCACCTTTAGTACTGGAGATGATGATCAAGGGGTGTTTGTAGTCCACGTCGGGAGACCCATCTAGGGTGTCAATGCTACTCTTCCACAGGTAAAGTGCAATGAGTGAGAGTTGTTACCCTAGGACAGGAAGTGTGTTACTGGCAGGATCAGCAGGTGACAATACATTGATAACAAAATGGAAACTAATGCAGACACCACTTTTAAGAACTAAGGCCCCATTCACATGTAGCGACTTACCTTTGCAGCGGCCGGGATAGCGCGACTTTCGGGACGACGTTCCAGCGACGATCCAGCGGCGGTAGCGCGACCTTCTCCGTCGGGCTCTATAGAAAAAAGCAAAATCGCGCAAAATCCGCAGAAAAAAGGGTCCTGTAGAAGCGACGAGCGACGTGCGACATGGAGCTAAGACATCTCCATTGACTATCATTAGCCGGCGACTTCTCGCGATATCGTGCTGCAAAAATGCGCGATATCGCGGCGGAAATCGCGCGATAAGTCGCTATATGTGAATGGGGGCCTAATAAGCTGCAACATATTACATTTTTGTTTTAAATTTTAGATACTCTTTAACTGAAGTGTGGAAAGATGAGGTCATCACCAAGCCCATGCTGTAATAAAATTACATAACTCAGATAAGACATTCTGTGTATATATATTTTAAAGAGGAACTCTAGGTATTATAAAAACTAGCCCTAGCAGTGGAGCTACTCCCGCATTGCAAGGGTTCACTGCTTGTTTTTGTCTAGGGGCTAAAATAAAAAAGATGTACTCGCCTGATCCTTGGTCCCGCCTGACTGCAAGACCGGTCCCCAGAGCCTCTTCTTCCCTAGGCTCTGGTGGTCTAAGGACCTGTGACTCCATCACATCTAATGCAGGAGCTGAGGGGGAGAGAGGTGAGTGCTGACTGCTGCAGGACTGAGGATCAGGTGAATATATCTTCTTTATTCTGGCCGTTAGGGAAAAACAAGCAGTTAACCCTGAAGTGGGGCAGTAGCTCCTCTGCCAAGGGTTAGTTTTACAGTTCCTAGAGTTCCTTTTTAAAGATACATTAAAGTCTTTTTTTTTTCCCCTCCCCAAAAAGCCTCTGTAGGGACTTAACTTAAGTGATGCCTCTTGATCCGATGATATTCTTCCTTCCAGTAGTTTCCAGCAGTCCCTCCAGCGCTGGTGCCGGACTCTGATCTAGCAGAGACTCCTCGGGTCCCACAGTGTCTGTCCGGCGTGCACACTCACGGCTGCGTGTATTGACTTCTATTGAGTCTTTCCTCCTCTCCCCGCTGGATATCTCCACAGCACAAGCGCTCGCCCAGATCTTCCTGCACGGCAGTTCGTGGATGCTGCAGCCAGGAGCAAGCGGCAGTGACAGAGGTAATGTATTTACCTACTTGGTAACTTTTTTATTTTTTTTTATGTTTTTGCAAATATCTACTGCTTGCTTTGTATTGAGCTGTTTGCCTCATGTTGATCTCTAAATGCAGAATGATTATCCTTGGCTGACACATACATTCCGTGTACTTATTGTGTTAATGGTTCTCTTGTGTTAGTGCAGACTTCAGCTACATACATTTAAAATGATTGCTTAATGCTATGCACTGTTATTGCAGCAGGAGGGGAACCAGAACCTCTGTAATAAATGGAGCCAGAGACAAATGTAGCTGAAGGAAGACTAGAAACGTTACAGATCTACAAAGTACTTCAATGTGTTCGAGATCAAGACAAAGGGCAAATAGAAAAACTTACCCAGCTTGGAGTCCACAACCTCATAAATCTCACCGAGCCAAGCCATGGAGAAGCTGCTCTACACCTGGCTGCTGTCGCTAACAATGTTGACATGTGCAGCTTTTTGCTTCATCTCGGAGCTCACCCCGATATACAAGACTTAAAGGGATGCACCCCTGCCATGAAAGCTACAGAATTAGGACATGACCTGGTACTGGAAGTTCTTGCTGAAGCCCAGGCTGACATGACAGTTGTTAATAAAGAAGGAAAAGGTATTTATTGCACACTACTTACTGACCATTTTGTGAATTTATTAGCCAGTCCTCTGTTTTATATTAAAGTGTACCTGTACCTATGTATTAAACATAAGGCTATGATGGAAAAAGGCAGAGTAGGTGCTTCCATGTATGAAAGTTTTAGTGTGTTTTGTAAGTATCACATGTAAGACCTACTCTAGTCTCAAGTGTCGTCATGCTGTTTACTTGTTACTATAGCAATGCGGAAAGGATAGGTTGTGGAAGTCTTAGGTTCAAGAGGATTAGCTGTCATTTTACTTTTCAGAACATCATACTTAAAAGAGAACTATGGGGTAAGTGTTTTTCCCCATAGTTCTCTTTAGGGTCACGGAAGGACATATACTAACCTCCTCCCGTGACCCAAAGCTCAGTATATTGCGGGCAATATACTGAGAGCGCCGCAGCCGGGATGGATCCCGACAGTACTGTCAAGTGGCCCGCAGCCTGCCCCGTTCGTTCCTCAACTCAGCGCTGGAGGATCGGAAAGGGGAGGGGGGAATCCCTGCGGGGAGCAGTGACTGACTGTCTCCCTGCAGTGAGCGGTGACTATCAGGAAGTGAGCAGATCGTTGCATGTTTCTGCTCACTTCTCAATCAATAGAGCCGACCTGTGACAGCTTCTTTGTCACAGGTCGGCTCTAATTATGAGGATGAGTGGAAATCACTAACCTCATAGTTCTCCTTTAAGCTGCCCACCAATCTCGAAGGGTAGTCTGATTGTGTATGCAGGACCTGAAGGAACTGCCTATAAGTCCATAAAAAGGGATGTTCTGCTTGGCATAATCTACCTGTTTATGTGAATTGAGATGGAAGGGCGAGGAGACGAGTAGTACTGGCAGATGCTGCAGCTGGTGCCTATCCTAAATTGGTAAGGTTTCCCAACCTACCTGATTGACCTCTCCCTACTGGGCAGGGCCATAGGCATTAGAACATTGCCAAATCCACCCAAACATAAAAACATTAAAAAAAACTTGTTCATGACCTAACCTTACAATGGCAACATGCAAAGTGGGAAATGATACAGGTGCAGGACTTAGCTAGTGTGGATATGCAGGATGTAACCTGAACTGAGATGAAACTCGAGATAGCCCTTCCAATATACACCAGAAGCTTTATTAAGAAAGACAATAACTACCTGTGCTACTTTCTTCCTTTGCAGCATATAATGTTTTCCAGCACTACAGGTGCTCTTTAAAGAACAGTTTCTCTAGTCGGAGGCTTTGGAGCCATGATAAGTTACAAAAATATTTCAGTTACACTTAGCTTGAAGCACCCACTCTGCATACACGTCTGATCTGCTCAGCTTCAGTTGTAGAACTCCCTACAGTTTTCTTTTTCTTTTTTTTGTACCTGTAAAGTGACACTAAACTCAGGAATTAAATCTTAAAAATACATTCAAGTACCTTAAAGGAGAACTATGTGGTTAAGGCTTTTCCCCATAGTTCTCCTTAGGGTCACGAGAGGACACAAACTAGCGTCCGCCCGTCACCCTAAGCTCAGTATACCGCGAGCTGTAGCTCGCGGTATACTGAGACGCTGCAGCTGAAGCGGATCCCGACAATTATGTCTGGATCCGCCCAGCTGCGTGAGTGACAGCTGGCTCTGCCTATCTAGAGACAGAGCCAGCTATACCTGCCCCCTCCCCGTCCGTTCCGCCAATCAGCGCTGGAGGATCGGAGCGGGGAGGGGGGAATCCAGCCCCTCCCCTGTCACAGCAGAGAGCCGTGACAGGATCGAGAAGTGAGCGAACGCCGGTATGTATTCGCTCACATCCCGATCTACTGAGCCGACCTGTGACAGTCTCATTGTCACAGGTCGGCTAGAACTATGAGGTGAGTGAAAAGCACTATTAACAAAAATGTATCTTATTTGTGTATCACTCAGGTGTAGATCCTCAAATCATCTCTGAATTGGTGGTGACACTGTCCTTCCTTCTGGAGGGTGGCTACTTTGGTTTCCCATGGTCCCTGTGTGTGTTGTAAAGTAGCCACCACTCTAAGCTCGCTCCTGTGATGGACTACCGTACAATCTCACCTTTAGTTTACTAATTTGTATTGAAGTTATAGTCTATCACAGGAGTGAGTTTGGAATGGTGGCTACTTTACAACACACAAAGGGACCATGGGGAACAAAAATAGTCACCCTCCAGAAGGAAGGACAGTGTCCGCACCAATTCAGAGATGATATGAGGATCTACACCTGAGAGATGCACAAATAAGATACATTTTTGTTAATAGTTAGGGTACTTGAATGTATTTTAAGAATATTAATATATCTCCCTTTACTTCCTGGAACTCTGGCACTTCCCTGATTCTGCCACAAGTACAGCATAGATTTGACCCTTTCTGGTGATATCTCTGTTTCAGGTTGAGGGCTGAATTTTGGTGCTGCACATCTCTTGCTGCATCTTTGCACCTAGGCCACAGGACAGTCACAGAGACATAAGCTGATCATACCCCAGTAGAATAGAATTTTCAGAATGTTTATTCAATTTTCTAATAGGTAATAGGGTCAAAGTGATGACCCCAATGTGGTGATAAAAATAAATCGAAGTAGCGGGATGGATGTTTTTTCTCGAATTAATGAAATCGTTTTTTGTCCATGAAACTCTGTTTACTCCAAAATTGAATGTTAAAACCAAACAAAATATTGAGAAACATTCTACAAGTCTCTGATGGCATCAAAGAATGTTCTGACAAGGTTTTTCTGTATGAAGGTGGCCAGAGTCCTCAGGCTGCAGGCACAGTCATAATTCTCTAAGGGCTTTCCCTATTTCACGCACAGTTTGCCAGGAGCTGTGGAATACCTAAATGTTGCCCCAGACATTGTAAACTATTGGTCATGCCTGTGGAGGGGGAGCAAGGGCAACATAAAAAAGCACAAGCATAGATACAGTAGGGTTTTATTCATAAACAATATGCAGAGCCATTGACCCTTCGAATCTCTGTGAATGTTCATTCTGTGGATGCACAAAACAAACGTTCTTTTTATCTTTTCTTTAAAAGTCGAATGTATTTTTGAATGTCATCTTGTAATACCACATTATGGCCTCTGGATGGACCTGGTTAGCATAGGAAATACGTATTTCTTTTGCTCCTCAGCTCTACCTAATGACCATAAGAAATAAATAAATAATACATGTTTATAAATAAATGAATAATACATGTTTATAAATAAATGAATAATAAATGTTTATAAATAGATCCCTTAGACCTAAAGGCCTTGTTCACGCCGAAAGCGTGTGCGTTCCAAAGCGGTAGCTGCTGGAACGCACAGCGATCGCTGAGAAACTTCCCCCCGCGTTTTGGGGCGGGGGGGGCGTGGCGGTGCATTGAATTCAATGGCACCGCTTCCACGCCCCCCGCCCGCAGTGCGATCGGACGCGTGGCAAAACGTTGCCAGCGTTCCGTTCCTCTGCAAGCGCAAAAAATAGAGCAAGCCCCAAAACGCGGGGGGAAGTTTCTCAGCGATCGCGGGGCGTGGAAGCAGCTGTCGACCATTGAAAACAATGTACTGCCACGCCGCCTCCTGCCCCAAAACGCGGGGGGAAGTTTCACAGCGATCGCGGTGCGTTCCAGCAGCTACCGCTCTGGAACGCACACGCTTTCGGTGTGAACAAGCCCTACAGGTTAGGAGACATCATTATTTTATGTATTTATTAATTGTATTGTATTCATGACAATGTCATCTTCTTTTATTAGACTTACTTGTCTTTAGGGTGGTCATTTCCACTGTTTCTGTGATATTGTTTGTTTTATGGGTCTGAGCTTAAGCAGCAGCTCACATGTACTTGGTGTCTAGTTTTTGACCTTTTTGGCCAGGATGGCTTAGCAGGTGCACAAGGATCAGACCAACATAGCTCTCTGGGACAGTTAGAAACGCAATCAGCTTAACCCTAGATAGCAGTCCATCTATGAACATTCATTTATATAGTGCCAAGGTATTCCGTATTGTCTTCAAGTGTTCATACTCAAAGAGTAAACAAATCAATCTTTGCACCATAGCAATCCTTTATTTTATTGTCCCTATTACATTCATACAGACACGCAACAGAAGGCAGTCTACATAAATACATGCACTGTGAAGATAGTGTCCCTGGTGCTTAAGGTGATTGTAGCTGTATTAGTGCACATCATTGAGTATTGTCCAGGATACTTTTTTATTTACACCAACAGGTAAATTTTCAGGGCAAACCTTTGGGGCCTACCCCCTTTTTTTAAAGGTGCTACTTGGACCTTAGATAAAGTAGGTAGGTGCCTAACATCTGTACCAAAAATTGAATTGTTAGTGCAAGTAAAGAAAAGTATCACAGACAGCATGCAACAGTGTTGTCTCCAATTAGTATTGAACCCTCCAAAACTCATTATAGAGTCCCTATTACTTATAAAAGTGTGTGAGTAAGCAAGGATCCAAAGTACCTCTTTTAAACTGTGGCTTTTAGTTTCATGGCCATGCTTTCTAGGGTTTTTTTTTGCCTTCCCCTGGATCAACAGTGGGTAATTGTGGGCATAGTGTTCTGTTTAGGCTTTTTTTTTTTTTTTAATCTCTATAGGTTGAACTCGATGGACATGTGTCTTTTTTCCACCTGACTGACTATGTAACTATGTAATCAAAATAATATTAAAAAAATGAAAAATCACTATGGTAGCTAAATACTTGGGTAGACAGTTTTGAATTTAAGTGATTCCATGTATTGGCTAACTTTATTAAATTTACTAAAGATGCAAGCTTTCCAAACCCATTAGTTTCCTACCCCAGGCAAATTAAAAAAGTGTTTGAAATTGCTATTTCTTAATTCAATTAAAGGTTGGATGTCAGATTGCGTAATGTAATTAAGTTCAAATTAAAAAGTTAGAATACACTTTTACCAAGGGGGTGTTTCATTTAAATACACGTAAACACTTACTGAGTTACATTACATTTCTAAATCATTTGCCCTGCAATATGCTGGCCGAATGCTGTTCGCATGTCATTCTCACCACGAGATGAAGCCGAGGAGCATAGAAAATGCCTATTCTTCTTGGTTCCATCTAATGGAAAGGCCTGTGACATCACCAGACTGGTCAGAAGACACTTTGATTATATATATATATATATACACACAATCATTTTTTTCTTTTTAATTTATTTATTTTTTGGTTTGTGTGAAGGGAAGGGGATTGTTGTAAAGTTGGAGTTCAGCTTTATTAAAAGTTCTGCTTTCTTCTATTGTATCTTTAGGAGACAGGTCGCACTGCTTTAATAGAAGCAGCAAGGGAAGGGGCTCTGGAGGTTGTTCGCAGCATTTTGAAGAAAGGAGGAGATGTAAATGCTTTTGACAAGCAGCGGTATCATGCTGTTCATTTTGCTGCCAAAGGTGGCTTCCTGGAGGTATGCGGATCTTTTTCTTTTTTTGCCATAAAGATTAAATTATTCTACCACCTAAGTAATAATACATTTCACTGCACAGCAAATGTGATTGTTCTGGGAGTTGCAGAACTTTATTATCCAGTATTTGTCTAGAGAAGGCAATGTTGCATAAGATTTGGGCATGCAAAAATGTAGACATTTGCCACTCTTACAAAAATAAAGGTTGCATAATGACCACGAAGTCAATGTAGTTACTGTTCTCTGGGGCTTTACACCTAATGGACCTGTGTTCAGAAAGGAAATCACCACACAAAGTTGAGGCTTGCTCCTCATACATCCTTTAGGACAAATATCTCCTAATCAGGTCTAAAAGCAACCTATTTCAGCTAATAATTGGCACACATTTGGGTAGTTTTCTGCTACACTGGAGCTAAATTAAGAAAACTTGTTAATTAAAAGTAGTATATTATTCAAAAAAACCCATCAAAATTGAGCAAACTTTTCTAGATCATGGTAGAAAATTAAAGCAATAAAGTCATAATCGTATTGGTTTTAATGAATGTAACATTTACTATTTTCGTGTGAAAATGCCTGAACCAGTTTATCCCAAACTTAAAACCCAACTTCAGCCAAACCTTTTTATTTATTGTGAATATTAGGGGAGGTTTAAAGCCCCTGTTGAGTTTTTTTACCTTCTGTGTTCCTATTGGACAGATTTCCCTAACTTCCTGTCGAGGCAGGAAGTGAAAGGAAATCACTCCAACTGGGACACAGACAAGGTACAATTCATATATCAAGGACTTGTATGAACATTGGAGAACTGTAAAACTAAATATATAGATGTTTATAGACCTACCTTGCTTGTATTGTAGATCTTGATGGTCTTGTCTGCATACAAGGGAGACATGGGCATTATTGCCATGGATTGTAACACAGCCCTTCACCATGCTGCTGGTGGGGGGTTTGCTGATTGCTGCCGATTTCTTGGACAAAGAGGTGGGTGATAATGTCTTAATTGTACAATATTAACATATTATTCAACTGTTTTGTGTGTTAGATCTCAGTATGTGTTCACAAGGGATCAATATTTTGCCTATTCCTATTCCAGGCTCCCGCTATTGTTGGTTCTTTCATCTCTGCTGAAGGGGAAGATCAGAGTTCAGATAAGCCTCCCATTCAGCAGAGATCATGTGATTAAATGCCTAGGTTTCTGCATGGAGCAGCAGGAAACTTAAAAGAGAATTATGGGGTAACCTTTTTATCCCATAGATCTCTTTAGGGTCACAGGAGGACATATACTAACACCCTCCCGTGATCCAAAGCTCAGTATGTAGCGGGCTATTGCTCGCTATATACTGAGAGCGCCTCAGCCGGAACGGATCCCGACAATACTGTCAAGATCCACCCAGCTAGCTGATTGACAGCGGGCTCTGCCTATCTAGAGGCAGAGCCAGCTGTGCCCACCCCCTCCCCTATGCGTTCCAGTCAGCACTGGAGGATCGGAGCGGGGAGGGGGGGAATCCCTGTGGGGAGCGGTGACTGAGAGTCACGGCTCTCTGCAGGGAGATGATCGGGAAGTGACTGAGCGACGGTATGTGTTCGCTCACTTCCCGATAAATAGAACCGATGTGTGACAGTTTAATTGTCACACGTCGGCTCTAACTATGAGGATGAGTGTGAATCACTCACCTCATAGTTCTCCTTTTAAGTATTTAATCCATTCTGTTTCTCGATATTCATCCCAGCAAAATTGTTAACATATCTTTTAAGTTTGAGTGTAGGTCTACTATTGTTGAATCAAAAACAGATAAAGAGCTTACGAAAAAGGAACATTTAGTGAAAAAATTTCCATCTATATCTCATAGCTATTTCTCTCACACACAGATAATTTCAACAATTACTTTGCTCTTTTTTCCTAAAGTTTCATCCTAGATTTATTGCACATTTTCACCGGTTTTACCACAGTTAGATAGGTTTATGTGAATCATCTCCAATCATAAGTCATATGACATTACTATTCTCCATATACAATGATATACAGCATGATTATCTTTTGGGATTGTACTAAGAGTCTGTAAGTTCATCCAATACATTTTACATGGCAGGTTGTGATCCTAACTGGAAAAATATAAGTGCTCTGACTCCCAAAGCTGTGGCCAAACAGGGTCGTTTCAAGGCTGCTATGAAGGAACTGGGAAAAGCAATGCGCCTCTTCAAAAAATATTCCAAGCCAGGAGTGAAAAATCCCAACCCACCTTGGGCCATAACACTGCACGACTGGTCGTTTGAGCACCAAGCAATTCTACGGGAATCTTTTGCTGCGTTGGATAAAGGGGATGGGACAGTCGCCAGGGAGGAATTTGTTGCAGTTCTCTTGGAGAAGGGCGCCCCACTGACCACAGAAGAACTAGACAGTGTTATACTTCTGCATGAAAAAGGACGCGGAGGTAACATCAACGTTGAGGAGTTTCTAAAAGGGTCAAAGTACCTACAAAAAGCTTTTCTCCTATCCTCGTATGGACCTAAAAAGAAGAAAGGAAAGAAAGGGAAAAAGGGAAAGAGAGGGAAGAAAACACTTCTTATGCCAATATGTACAATGCCAAGTCATTTGATTTCACGTCGGGAAGATGGTGGACCTCCAAACTTTATGATTGAAACCTTTCATAATCTTACTGACCTCAATCGTTTTGACTGTGACCACCCCCCTCAAAACCCCCTGACTGATGACACTGGGTGGTATGTGGATGACCTAGAAAAGGTGTACACTCAAATCAATTTTGCCACCAGAGCCGGAGACCTGGATTCGTTAAAGAAGGCTTTCGAAGAAGGAGTTCCTGTGGATGTAAAAGATGTTTTTTTTAAAACACCCTTGATTTCTGCATGCGCTTATGGAAACATGGACATTGTCAAATTCCTTCTAGAAAAAGGGTATACTTTTTTATTATTATTATTATTTTAATCATTTTAGCATCCAAATAGTAGTAGAATTAATACTAGTTAGTAGGAGTTAGCTATTCACAGTTGTAGTGTGAGCAAAGAATTAGATGTAGAAGTAGTATTACTTGTAGTAGTAACAGGAGTAATAGCCTCTAACAATAGTGGAAGCAGTATTTTAATATAGTATGCTGACCATTAAAAGTGGTGAGCATAATGACTTCGTCACCCCCATCTTCCACTTTTTTCTATACAGGTACCTTTTCTGCATAGGTCTAAAAGGTATTTGTAAAGCAAGAAGTTAGGTTCATACTTATCATACCTCCTGTTTTCTACCCACAGTGGCGAGGTGAGGATTACGTTACACTCCTTCTGGAGAGCTCCTGGGGAAAACAGAGTAGCCAAAATTTCACGAGAACATGCTTTTGCAATGGACTGGAGGGCCTTCCCATGATTTTGCCTGCTCTGCATTCCCCAGAAGTCACACCATAAGGCTGATGACATCATGCTTAGTGATGCATAAGATGAGGGTAAGTATAAATCGAACTATTTTATTTACATATGGATGGGGCCCGGATGCATTGTACTGTTGGATTGTTTTAAGATAAGAATAAAATAATGCAAGGATCTATGTTTTATTTCATAACTCTCTTCTTAGTAGGGATGCACCAACACTGGTTTTTCGGTATCGAGTATCAATATTTTTTTCCGGTACTCACCAATACCGACTATCGCTCAGGAAGCCGGGAGGCGGGTAATGACACGCCGCCTGGCTTCCTGATTGGCCAGCTTCTCGACTAATCAGGAAGCAGGGCATTGAGTCATTACACGGCGCCCGGCTTGCTGATTGGCCAGGAAGCCGACTACATGCTCCCTTGTCACCAGGTGACGAGGAAGCATGAAGCGGCTTTCTGGCCAATCAGGAAGCCGGGGGGTGGGTAATGACTCACCGTCTGGCTTTCTGATTAGCCAGCTTCCCGACCAATCTGTACTCGCCCAAATACTCGGTATCGGCACCGATACTAGTATTGGTGCATCCTTACTTCTTAGAGACTGTAACTTTTAAAAAAGAACTCTGGACATAAATATTCTTAACCCTTGCAGTGGGGTTATCCCCGCACTGCAAGTTTTAAGTGCTAATTTTTGTCTAGGGTTACAAATATAAAAGTTATACTGACCCGAACTTCGCAGCCATCTGGCTGTTAGAGCGTTCCCTCCAGTTATCTCCTCCTCCGGTGTACCAATGATATGTTCCACTGCGTCCTCAGGACGTGATGACTCACAGGACCTTAGACCACTGGACCTGGGAGGGAGAGAGGCTGCAGAGAGCGGTCTAACACCCAGCCGGCTGTGAGGTTCATGTGAGTATATCTTTTTTACTTTTGTCCCTAGACAAAAAGCAAGCACTTAACACTTGCAGTGCGTGAGTAGCCCCACCTCAAGGGTTAAACATGTCTCTATATTAAGGTACATTTAGGGCTCATGTAGGTGTGCTATGTTTTGAAACGCTGCCTTTTGCTTTTTAAAGCAAGGCCGCTCAAACAAAAGCTTAAAACACATAATGCCGCAAAAGGTTACATTTGAGCTACTTGACCTGCAAAGCAACTCAAGCCAAATCAGATGGAACCCTTACAACGGTCATCCACCATTGAAGTAAATGGTAATCTGCTAACCTGTGTTTGATGTACATTTCAAACGTGCGCTAAATACACAGAACAAACAACGCTCTAAACAGTCCAAGACTACATGCTTTGGTTGTTTTTATGTAGATGTGTAAATGGGCCCTAAAGGGCTGCACATTTTTTAGTTAACCCTGCAACAAACTACTGGTCTTCCACATACAGTACATACTACACTGAGTTTCCAGCAGCAGGTTTTTCCATCTTATATCTCTTGTAATATTGAAGCTTTTACTTGGACCCTGAAATATAATATGATGTTGTTTGTTTTACAGTGCTCATGTCAATGCAAGGGATAATTTCATGTGGACTCCACTGCATCATGCATGTCATGCCGGCCAGCAAGACATAGCAAAACTGTTGTTGAAAAATGGAGCAAAAATAGACGCAGTGGCCCTCAATGGATCCACGCCGCTAATGAGAGCTGTAGAAAGTGGCAGTTTAGACTGTGCTCAGTTCCTAATTAAATCGGGAGCAAAAGTGCAAATCATGAACAAGAAGGGTAATCATTTCACGTCTCCTATCTGGGGCAACAACATGGTATTGGCAGAATTATTAGAGATTTTTTGGAAGTATAATATATTAAACAAATGTCCCACATTAATCTAGAATGTGTACAATATTTTGTGGCATTCTATATATTCATTTCCCATTTACCTCTACACACCAGCTGTATGTTCTCAATGCTTTAGACTTTTAGTACATATAGAGCTCAGCCTTGCCCTAAGGCCTCCCTCAAACTTACCTTCCCTGTAACTGTTACTCTAACCCTCCCGGTAACCCTCACAGCTACCCTTCCTGTAACTCTAACATTAACCCTCTCGCTAATCCTCCAAGAAACCCTAATACTCACTATGGATGGGGGCTGGCAGGGGGAATGCCTCACCTAGCACAGACCTTAGTGCACGTCCAGCCTTGCAGCACTGAATAGAAATCACCCAAAGCTTGGCTGTAGCTTAACAATTAGCTCTGAAAGCTTTCACATTCAAGCAGTTCTGAACAGACTACACAGCAAAAAGAGGTTATTTTAAGCCGTATGAGTTATGTCCTCGTGTAACATTTATTGTTTTGCAGAGGCTGGCAAAAGGTATTGTGAAGTTACATATCTAAAGCAAACCTGTAGTGTCCAAAGAAAATAAAAATTTAGTTATATAAATTCAAGGTAGTGTTGGCTTACTTTTACTTTGCCACCTCGGTGAAACACCTAGGTGCCACCTACTACTGGTCCACTTTAAAAAACAAAGATAAAGTGAGAGCTATGCATATCCTTTGTGGAACTACATACAGGTCCCTCCCGGATTTTGCTGTAATTCCACATAAGTTGTCTCTGTCTCTTACTGTATACTGTATATATGCATTCACTATTTTCTGCAGTACTAGCAAAGGTGTAAACTGAACACATTGGTGGTTTAGAGGAATGTTACTTCATGTTTTGTGCTTCCCCTACTCACCCCTATCAGATGTTTCAGGGATTGGGAAAATGCCTCCCTTGAAGTTCAGGAAATGATGTAACTTCCTAAACTGCCAATTACGTACATCCACTTACTGGTCAGTGCAGCTTCTGTGGGGTGTATTGAAGTAATATTCTACTACAGCAGCATGTGCTGTTGGTGCCCTCAACGACGTACACTGTACGTCGTCAGTCACGAAGGGGTTAAAATGGCCATGGTGGCAACATCCCTATTCATGAGTGCCCAAATCTACACACCTGCCAAGGCCATTACTACGGAGGGGAGGTTTGCATTCCTCCATGATATTTGTACTTATTTTATATTAAGGATAATGCAGGAGAAGAAGTAGAAAACCCCAAAAGGTAGACAGGTACATACCCTAAAGGTTTAAAAGGGAGAGCTTGCTGGCCACTCCCCAAGAGATTAAGCTGAACTTCAGCCAAAGTACTGTTTTACGTTTTGGACAGCGTAGGGAAGAAACATTGCAGTAAATCTGGACTGTCCACATAACCTAGAAAGTATTTGTTTATTACTGTACATTTAGAGTGTTAATAAAGTGTTATTAAATGAATTCCTAATCTCCGGCTTTCCTTATTTTTCTTAGGACAAAATGTTCTCGATATTGCAAAAGCCTATGCTGACTACAGATTGATTGACTTGATTCAAGCCAAACTGGACAGTTTGCCAAAACCAAAAGAGAAAAAGGGCGGCAAGGGGAAAGTCAAAATGGAGGGAAAATCAAGATCAGTGTCCAAACCGCAGACCCCTGCAATTTCAGATACTCCCCCCATAAAGCAGGAGGTAGAACAACTATGTTTGTTGTAAAAGTATTTGCACAATAGTTGACAACTCTTTCAAAGAAAAATTAATCCTTAAGGGGTCCTTTTTCCACACTGAATGAAAGGTGGAAACCCTACTTATGACTTATTCATTTTACAGCTGCTCCACTAACATCCTGTTGTGAGTCTCTGAACTTTACTACAGAATCCACTTCACAGCTTACCTATAGAAATTCAGGGATGTAACCAAGGGAGTTCAAGTAAAAAAGCAACTGTCATATCTACACTATACTGGCAGTAACCTAGATAACATGAAGCAATGTTTATCTAAAAAAGATACAGTTGCTACATTGTACACAGCTATCCGAACAGCTCCGTTTTATATGCTGCTTTTGCATATATCGGTCTCACTGTTTTATTAATAGTTTATATACAGTTGAACACTTTGTGTTGTAGTTTATATTAGTAGCAGTGGCATATCTAAAAACTAGGGTGCTGATACCGAGTATTTGGGCTTGTACTCGCCCAAATGCTCCCGATGCCTATCCCAATACCGAAACTTCCGGTATCAGGAAGCTGGGCAGCGAGTCATTACACGCTGCCCGGCTTCTTGATTGGCCAGGAAGCCGGCTCCATGCTCCCTCGTCACCAGGGAGCATTGAGCTGACTTCCTGCACAATCAGGAAGCCGGGGGGTAGGTAATGACTGCTCCTTGTTTCCTGATTGGCCGGGAAGCCAGCTCCATGCTCCCTCCTCACTTGGTGACGATCAGGAAAGTGTAATGACACGCCGCCCGGCCTCCTGATTGGTTGGGAAGCTAGACAATCAGGAAGCCAGGCTGCAAGTCATTACCCGCCCTCCGGCTTTCTGATTGGCCAGAAAGGCGGCTCCATGCTCCCTCCTCACCTGATGAAGAGGGAGCTTGGAGACGACTTCCTTGCTAATCAGGAAGCCGGACGGCTAGTCATTACACACTGCCCACCTTCCTTAATGGGACTTCTGGTATCGGTAAAAAAATTTCGGTACTCGTATCCGATACCGAAAAACCGGTATCGGTGCATCCCTAATAAAAACCTTAAAGTGTCATGTACAGTACCTTTTAATATGTTTTTACTTTTTCTGTTTGCCAGATATCAAGGTCTACAGAGATGATTCATTCTGACAAAGAGAAGAAAAGTTACATTGCCCGTATGAACCACCTAATAACGTTGGGAGAAACAAAGAAAGTCGACATCACATTTGTGCCTAAAACGGTATGAAATATTCCAGGACATTTGTTCAGGGTTTTTTTTTTAAATCTCTAAAAAAATTGGAAATCTGCCTGTTTGTTATGATTGCCATGCGCCCAATTATTCTACAGTCTTAAAGAAGAACTTCGGGCAGAAATATTCTTAACCCTTGCAGTGGTGATCAATTACCCTGCCCGCAAAAGTACTTTTATGCAATATGCTCAAAGTGTGATTTGAATTGTAATGCTATAATGAATATACTGTATCTAAAAAGAGACTGGCAGTCAGAGGGAGCAGTGCCTTAGATAATTTCATACTGCAGATATACAGCTGTGTCAGGGCTACAGAACAAGAGTACCTAGGCACAATCTTGTGTCAGTATGTGCACTTCTATTTATTGTGGAGGAATTCAAGGCAAAATTAAGATTTTTCAGGATACTGCTTAGGCAAAATTAACCTTTCATATATATTACCTATAGAATAGTAAATCGTCACTTTTTATGTATTGGTCCTAGAGCTGCAGCTAACGATTATTTTCAAAATCGATTAGTTAGCCGATTATTAAGTTCGATTAATCGGTTAATCGGATAAACAATAAAATACATTTTAAAAAATGGCTCCAGTGATGGACTACTAGTTTGTATTGAGATTGGAGTCCATCACAGGAGCAAGCTTGGAGCGGTGGAAGTAAAAAAGAAAAAAAAATAGTGTGGTGTGCAATATAGTGAAATGGAAAGTGTAAAATTATACAGCAATGAATGGCATAGGCTATAGAGGACTACAAATCCCAGCAATAGTACATTATACAGCGCAATGCAGAATATCACCAGCTATAGAGGACTACAACAAATCCCAGCAATAGTACATTATAGCTGGCGGGATTCTGCATTGCGCTGTATAATGCATTATTGCTGGGATTTGTAGTCCTCTATACAGAGCAGTGCAGAATATCACCAGCTATTGACGATTATAATCGATTATGTCGATTAGTTGTTGCAGCCCTAATTGGTCCACTTTAAAATAAAATTGGCCAAATACCATTTCAGTTTCCCTTTAAATGTATCTGAATTGGACATGCCATTTTTTGCATAGATGGGATGGGCTACATTTCCTACTGGCTTTTTATATTTATATGTAAAATGGGAACTTCAGAGGAGAGTTTCCATCTTTTTTCCCAACCATGACCATTACAATACTAGAAAGCATCTTTACCTATCTTTGAAGCAATATTTGCATTCAAACCTGGAAAGCATTGCAATTGTGATCACTCAATCACAGCTGCAAAGCTCAGGCTTCTGCACATTCTCTCCCACGCAGATTTCGTACAGAGGTACGGAGTTTCAGTTAGAAGAGATGGGGGGAAGGACGGCTGGACTCCAAACTGCATTAAATCACCTCATACGGCGTCCAGCCATTCTCGTCCCAGATAGAGCTGCCCATATTCCCGCATCTACCTAGAGGGAGGTCGGTTGGACGCCATATGAGGCGATTTAATGCAGTTTGGAGTCCAGCCGTCCTTCCCCCCATCTCTTCTAACTGAAACTCCGTACCTCTGTACGAAATCTGCGTGGGAGAGAATGTGCAGAAGCCTGAGCTTTGCAGCTGTGATTGAGTGATCACAATTGCAATGCTTTCCAGGTTTGAATGCAAATATTAAAGAAATGCATATTTTTGTTATATATTATTAATTATGCATTTCCTTAATTTTTGCAAAAGGTGAATTTATCCTTTAATGTATAAGAAACTGCCGTTGTTTAAAGCTAAAATCATTCATTTTTGTTGTACTAATCCTTCAAACACTAATTCCAAACTTTTCCATTTCCAACTTTTTCAAGGTTTGGGTCTCGGAGCCCAATACAGCGGACCTCATAAGAAAAAGAGAACACCTACGCCAACGCTTCACGTATGAAGTAGATTTTGAAGACTTCAAGATGCCATTTAGTAAGAATCTAGCGGAGAAAACCTTGGCATTGGTATCTACTTAGCTTTTTGACTTAATTGAAGCAATGGTGTTATCTTGGCTTGAAAACATCAAATTGCCAAAATGTGTCACCTTAATAAATGCATATCCTTAAATTTTTTTTCCATCAGTTACACATAGGGAGCACACGTTAGTACCAGGTGCTGAACAGGTTCCAGAACTGCAATGCAGGCCTGCACATACATATGCTGCCCCTCCTTCTCCCAATGCAAGTGCTGCTGTGCAGGGGTAACATGAAGCTGATATCATTAGTGATTCTCAAAGAATCAATAACTAGATTAAAAGGTGTTTCCTTATATTTGCCTGGAGTTCAGCTTTAACATTTAGTTTCCAGTAACATTTCTTAGAGTATATGTAGAGTATATGATGCCAGAATGATGTGTGAATATAAAACGACTGACAGAATTCAAAATCAGTATTAATTCTTAGAGTGTAAGTTATATAAAGAAACATGACTTAATTCAGAAAATGTTAACTACCCAATGGTTTCTGGCTTTACTGCTTCATGTCATTGACCTAGAACAAGCATGCAACATGCGAATTCATATGCAAGTCATAATTCCTGATGTGCAAACTTTCTCTGGGTAAGTAATACATACAGGTCTATTCACAAAAGGGTGAAGAGTTTGGAGAAGGCAGGAGAAGTGAACAATCTAGGACAACATAGCTGATTTGGAAGAATTCTCCAATTCAGCTCACTTTACAGTTCAGCTATGTTGTTCTAGATTGTTCACTTCTCCTGCCTTCTCCAAACTCTTCACCCTTTTGTGAATAGACCTGATAAAGTATTAAAGCCATTGAGTCAGCATGGACGCCAAACAATTCTAGATCGACAGGTAAGCAATAGTAGCCTACATGTTTTTTTCAGTACAAAAGGGACACGCCACATAAGAGTTTTAAGTAATAAAAATTGAAGAGTTTGGTGTTTACAAAAGCACAGTTCTGTCCACCTGTCATGCTGACATTCCAGTCTAGAAATCATTACCACTTAATTCTGATTCAAGCCCTTTAGGCCCTTCTTCTACCTGTGAACTCAAGTAGAACTCTTGATAATGTCTAACTCCTGGAAAAGGTGGCTTGAGGGGTAGAAAATATGGACCTGATGTAGGATTTAAAATGACTCTGTTGCTAAAACCAAAGCCTAAAATATAGCTGCTCCTGCAAAGAACATAGATACTTTCTTCTCCCACTCCCGGCGCCACCAATCTCTGCTGCAGTAAAGAGAAATCACAGACTAAATAATCTTCCAATAGCAACACTTCATGGAGTATCAATTTCCTTGCCCTCCACTATGCATTGTGGTTCCTCCTGCCAGCCCCTACAGGACAAGTTGTAACATAGGGGAAGCAAGCTCTCAAATGCAAAAAAATTAGTTTGCGTGCCAGCCGATGTGGCCTCGCGTGCCAAGCCGGGCACGCGTGCCGGGGGTTGCCGACCCCTGGGCTAGTGGATCGAACCGCAGAGCGCAGCAGGATGCCAGGAATCCCAAATTCACAGTAATGTTTTCTTAAGATTCTTTAGCCTGCAATATTAGCAGAGATTGGTGGCTTTGACAGAAGGAGAGGTGGGTATCTACTCCAAGTTCTTCTCTGCATTAGGTAGCTTTATTTTAGGTTTTGTTGACCAAGTCACTTTAAGAAACATAGATTGGCAAAATAGTACCACAAAGGGGAGTCACATTAACACGCGGCTTACCTGACTCTCATCTCGAGGTATGAGACCTATGGGAACTATGATGAGTTCTCATTTATGCCATGCAAAGCATCTTGAAACTTGAATGTTAGCAGTAGATAATTAGTCATGAAGACATCTAATTTAAAGCTTGCTGTATGATGTTTTCCTTTATAAATATAAATCTAGATAAAAGACATATTGATGATGCATTGGATACTTGAGCTTCCTATGAGGAGTTATAATTCATGCTGAACAGATTGTTTACTGAAATGAAATAGTGCCTCCACTTCAGTATTAAGTGAATATGGCTTATGGGAGCAATTCTGCAAGCATCAGCAAGATATGTTTAACCATATTCTGGTCATCAAGCTATCCTGGATGCCAGCACACTCCCCTTACATTCATCTGGCACTCCAATTGCAAGATGCAATGGCTGAATTTTCTCTCTTCCCACCACACCCTTCCTGGTGTGGCCATTGCTATTTTGTTGTGTTTTAAACCACAAAGGGAAAAATGTGGTAACAAAACACATTTTTGTTTCCCATAGCAACTAATTAGCATCTAACTGTCATTTCTGCAGTTGAAAATGAAAGGAGGATCTTGACTGGTTGTTGTGGTCAACAAGAAATGTTCTTGCTAGAAACCTTGTGTTAGATAAGTCCTGTTATGTAATAAACATTTCATGTTCCAATCAGTCACTTACATTTTTCCTACATAGCCTGACTGCTGGGTATCTCTGATTTTCATCCTAATGCTTATCTTCATACTTCAGCTGACCACCTTGATGGCTGAGTCTTTCCATATTGTTATCTTCTTCATGGCCCTTTAAATTGAACCTGTGTTTGCCCATGAAGGCAAAGCAACCAGGACACTCCGACTCCCCCTTCCCCAGCAGCTTGTATTGACCTTCTTTTTGCTCCTTCATCACTCCATTCAACCACAAGGAGTGAAGAGAGGAAACCCTGCGTAAGATGTGACTTGAAACTCACATGAGGCTGAGGGCTCTTCCCACCTGGAGACAATACTGGGCCAATGACCAAACATCAGCGTTATCACATGAAAGGTAGGGGAGTGAGTCACTTGTTCCCCTATACCTGGCAATTCCGTTTATCTTTCTGCTGGCCAAACATGTGACGCTGGGTAAGAGGGATCTTAGGTAAGCCTGTTTGCTGTTGTCCTGCATTGGGAAAGCACAGGTTCATTTTAATCTGATCATGTGAAATAGTAGGTCAGCATGCTCTATGGTCCAAGCACCTCTCTCTGTGAACACTGCATACTCACCCACACACTTAAGCATGAGAGGGTGGTTGCACATGCAGAAAGTTGCAAATACGCTTCTATCCCACCCATAAGCAATGTAAAAAAACTTTAACAGTCTGGCTGTAGTGTATTATATATCACTCACATTAATAGACATTTCTACTATAAGAAAAATGGAGTTGTCATCACTGACCACCTTCTAAAAATCCTAGTTACTTGGCTGTCATGGTGATCTTCTGGCTTCACAACATTTTGAGTCACTGACTCTATACAGGAATGCAGAAAGATCAGTAAGAACTCCAGATCTGCATGCTTGTTTCAGTCTAGTTACTCAGTGTTACAGCCAGTGAAGCAGTGTGGCAGCCAGGGAATTCGCATTTCAGAAAGAGGTCAGCATTGCCTTCCTATTTCTCAGTACAGGTTCCTTTTAAAAGTGGATTTTCTGACAAAAGTACAGATGTACTGTATGTTTCCTAGATAGAATATGCAGGTCACTGGTACAGTTCACATATTGCCTGGAACATCTTTCTACAATCCCACATTGAATCTGCCTCCAATTCTATGAAGAATTCACTAGAGGGAGTCTTACCTTGTCTGACCTGAAGCTGAACTTAACAGTAATGGTTCTTGTGTTACATTGCAACTGCGTATATTCTGCTTTCTATTTTCATCAATGAGCAGGTTTTATAGGGGCAAAGAGCGGTCTACAAACAAAGTACAGTAACCCATGTGAATAATCAAAAAAAAATTTTCTGACCTGACTGTAAACTGATTCTTACATCTAGTTTCTATAGGCTACTGTATTTCATCACTGATATTTGCATGGTCTTAATCAGTAGGTCAGCTTGTATACAATATATTCATAAGTTAAAGTGTTCCTCCACTTTTGTTAAAGTCAGTCATATACAGTATATTGCGAGGATCTGCAAATGACAGTTTAAAGGAGAACTATGATGCGAAAATCACTCAGCCATACAGCCGTACCAGCCTGAAGTGAATAGCCGAACAGTGTTCGGCTCACTTCACTTCAGATCGGTCATTCACTCGGCTGCCCTCGGCAGCTTTGTGAATAGACCCCATAGTGTCGCTCGCTCACTTCTCGATCTATCCCTGCAGAGAGCCGTGACTATCACTCATGGCACCCTGCAGGGATTCCCCCCCCTCCCCTGTCCGATCCTCCAGCGCTGACTAGTGGAACGGACGGGGGAGGGGGTGTTCACAGCTGGCTCTGCCTCTAGATGGGCAGAGCCAGCTGTCAATCCCGCAGCTGGGTGGATCTTGACAGTAATGTCGGGATCCGTCCCGGCTGCGGTGTCTCAGTATTCCGCAAGCTTTAGCTTTCGGTATACTGAGCTTTGGGTGACGAGAGGACGCTAGTTTGTGTGCTCCTGTTACACCTAGGAGAACTATGGGGAAAAGCCCTGACCCCATAGTTCTTTAAGCTTCCATACAGAGCCATAGGTGGTCTGCGATCAGAGGGAATGCCTTTGGACCCTTAAGGAAGCTCATCCTGTCATCTGCAGATGTACCTGTACAGCTGTGGCTTCCACCAGCCTGCCATTGATTTGTACAGGCTGGCTATGGGCTGCTGTATGGTGCACTTGTCACTCCCAGGCAGAGAAATACGCCAGGTTTTAAAAGAGAACTATGGATAAACCTTTATTGGCCGTAGTTCCCTTTAGGGTGACAGGAGGACGTTTTTATAATGTCCTCTTGTCACCCAAAAGGCTATTGCCTGCTATATGATGACAGCGCAGTCGTGCTGCAGCTGGGACGTATCCTGACAATGTTGTCTCGATTCACCCCGCGAGCTCATTGACAGCTGGATCTACCTCTCTAAAGGCAGAGCCAGCTGTGCCCGTCCCCTCCCTGTCTTTCCCTCCAGTCAGCGCTATAGGAACAGAAAGAGGAGTAGGGAATCCCTGAGGGCAATCCTTGTGGGGAATCCCTGCATGGAGCGGTGACTGACAGTACAGTGGGGCACACCGCATTCTGCAAGGAGAAGATTGTGAATTGAACAATCAGCGGTATGTGATCACTCAGTTCTCGATGTATAGAGCCGACATGTAACAGGT